AACTCCTACACTGCAGGTAAATCATGGGCGCATAGAGAATAGGCTTGAGACAATGAATATATGCTTACAACCTGCGGGGTTCTGCTCACCGAGCTGAGTTTGGCTCGTACAGTGGTCCAATCCCCAATCCCACCTTTTAGTTCCGCTTTCCAACAAAGTACCATTTCAAAGAACCCTAACATATGCACTGCAGCACAACAATACAAGAGAGTAACAGGATGACATTGGGCGAACACTATAGTGAATATTGAAATTTCGATCTTCATATCTGAATGAATCATTCCGCAGTTTGACCAAGGGTTCGACCAGATTCCCATGTTTATTGATGTCAAGATGAAAATCCATCTATGAAGATCACAAAAAATCAAGTATATGTGCTTACTTTCTGATAGATATCCCAGCCTCCATCCATTGATATGATCATGGTTGGGATATTGCATATTACCTGACTAGCTTACCAAGATATCATCTGAATGCCTTTTCACCACTCATAGTGTATTATCACCCGATTGCATCGTTGTACTAAAAATGTGAAAGATTACCTTTGCGGAAGATTGTCTCGCGCTTGCATCTGCAGGTGTGGGTGAACGGGTATCTAACAGATTAAGATCTCAAAGATTTCCTGTCATCTTACCATCTCATCTTATATAAACCGGACTTTTGTACTTCCGCAATTATGCGCCTAGATTTATGAGGGATACAATGACATATTGTATCACCTTACTGGTTCTCATCACATCAAGTCCGGCACGATTGCAGAATGCGGAAGGTTCAACCTCCACAGTAAGGAGCAAAAAACCTCACGTGGCACCAAAAGGCCAAGTTAGCTGGTCATCGTATTTGCTTCTTGGATTTTCACGTTGTAATCACTTTTTCTTTTCCTGCCAGCTTCCAATAAATTGTGACACGATTCAGTGAAAAATAATCGCGACTCTTTCAATTGCTATCAAGTTGCATACCTACCTAGTAGCTAATCATTCGATCTGAATGATCTTAGGGTTAAGGTGTGTGATATAGGTAGCTACGTAACTGTTTCATCTGCATTCTCGTCCCAATACAGGAGCTTCACCGGTAGCAGACGTCTACAAAAGAAATTCTATTTTTAGCAATGTCAAGTGATGTGTGCGGACGAGAATGGTTCAGTCAGCCTTCAAACTATTAGATGCATATAAACGTGTATTTTGAACACGACGTTGAGGGAAATACAAAGATGGCGCATGTGAGTCTTCACGTTTTGTGGCGTATGAAAGAATCATCGTGGCAACGCCACCGTGCGGTATGTTTTCTTTTTCTCCTCAAGGAAATGATTAAAGCAAGGAAGCTCGTGACGGACCGTCTGTCGCTTGGAATAGAGGGCTTGAGTTCATCAGATTTGTACAAAAATTGGCTCTTGTTCTTCATATGAAAAGTCCGTATGCCAATTTCATGTGATTGCGAGAACTTTTGCCGAGGGTGGCTTACGAATGTCTCGCTATTAAGCGCTCGACGACACGATGTCAGGAGCGTATCATATTGTCCCTTATCCGCCTGCATGATTCTCTCGGGCCCGTGTCTCAAGTCAAGAGAACGTTGACACCAGTTCGAAAGTATGCTTTCTTATCGTGCCTCTTTATGTCTTGCCCGCAAGGCGTTGTTCAAGCCGTTAGATGCGTGGACGAATAGCGAAAGGCTGAACTCAATCAAAAAGAACTATCATGTCATTTAATTTTGTTCAAGTCTGGAATTTTCCAAATTGTGAATAGTTTCAACATGTCTAGCCTTTAAAATCTTCCTTCCCTCCTCTCCTTGCGTCCTTCCACCCTTCATACAAGATCCATTTCCCTTTGACGAGCTTGCCGCCATAAATTGCGACTTCAAAGAATATTTATCTTGAGACATTGACTATGCCATGTAAAGGCAATGTCCCGCAATGTTTCGATGACACTGTGTGCAGGACATAAAAATCATAAACCCTCCGAATGGTCTCATAATTATTCCGTGGCTGCGTGGCTGAAAACTCTCAAGAAATACTTCTTTCATCCTTCGATGATCTTTCCTTGCATATCTTGTACACCGATCAATAGAAAGATCTTGTTCCTCGCGAGTGCAGATCAGCCGCGTGAATTCTGAGTCACGAGCGTATTTTCTAGTTGCATATGTATTCAGATAAAGTGTGATTAGGGTCCCGAGGAGTGGAGAAAGGATCTACTGCTAGTGGCACTTTACTGCCGAGACACCATGTCGATCGACGGACATTGTTCAGCTTCCGCTAGAGATCGCTAGGGGTCGATTGCTTCAAAAAGTTCGATGGCGATAATGTTTGCTAAGAATAATTGTTCGGAAGCAATATTATCCAGTTTCACAGATTCAGATTCTTCGGATCTGGTGGAATGTATCAATGGAGATCCGTAGGTCACCGGGGTACAAAATGTGGAATAATTCAGGGGCTGAGGATTGGAGCTCAGTTCACTAAGAGCACATCGCGGCTCGCGACCTACACTCAAAGTTACAATTGGGGGTTCAAAGCAAATATTCCATGTCATAATTGAATTATTTATTAATTATAAAGGTATTTTTAAAAATTGAATATTCCTTCACATAGATAGGTAGTATTTCATATATCTCGTCTATTATAAAATACATACAAAATAATATTTTGATATTCAGGGGCTTACTAATAGTCGGCGTGAAGTATTGATGGTCACAGCTTTTGAATACATACCTATCCACCTAGTTATACGTCGTATAGTATGCGGACACTTATTTTGGCCATGGGTACGTGCAGTCTTTCTAATTAAGCTTTCTAAACCATACGGAGTACTCAATTCACAGTTACAATTACTATGTTTACAAGAAGGCTTGATTTCATCTTTTCTCGATCAACATTAGCTATGGATTAGTGTTCAAGTGGACATTCAATATGTGCACAGACTACTTCTTCCCCGCTACCTGAAAGGAAAGCGACAATCAACCTAAACAGGCTTGAGAGATCAACCACGCTCCCCTCTTTTTAACTGCTCTGCATGTTTTATAATTCCTTCCCAATTCCGTCTATCCACACGCCTCATATGCAAAATGCCACCTCGCAGACGCCGCTAAACCTGCAATGAGAAAAATATAATCACACTTCGAAGGAAATGAACGATGAAACGACAGGACATGATTTTTTGGTCTATACACCTTCTTCACCCTTGACATTATTACATCTGAATGGATATTAGTGTTCCAATATTGATGTGTTGTTGAAAACTTGGCATGGATCTCAGCTGTCGTTTCGCAAATCGGTCTTTATTCGAAGCTGAACGCTTTGACGACGACAATGGAGACCACGAAAACTCAATTCTCCAGCACGCCTAATAGACGGTGACTCCTTTTCCTTCCTGTCTTCGCACAGTTCCTCGTACAATTCTCCACAGGGAATCAGGAATAGTACACCGCATGTATACCCAACTCCTCACCCGCTGCTTCTGCCTAAGACATCCCCCAAAGACCTCGCAAGGATTCTCCCGTTCGAGAAATTTCTCGGGTGGCGATGGAAGGTGCAATTGACTAGGTGGAAATGCTCGCTGAAATCGAAATGTAGCGAGGGCATCGGGGAGAAGTACTCACTCCACTTACCTGAGATTCGTTTGCGGATTATCATCATGTTGGAGGATATTCTCATCCACTTCGCGGAATTATTGATTCTTCAAAGACGTTCTTGATTCATGATGTTTCACTTTCCTCAATGACTTGCAAGTGTAAAGTGTTGATGTTGGATGTTGAATAACGATTTTGGTTTTGGGTTTGATGAAGTGTCAATAGCAAGTTTGTGTGGCATGTGTCTGTCTAGGTAAGGATAGTGTGGGCGGGTGGCGAGAAGGATTGATATGTTTGATTTGCACGGGAAGGTAGCTAGGAATTTCTTTTTGCCTTTCACCACAAGGAGCCGTGGCGTACTTCTATTGCTTCTTTAGATACGCATATTTCATGGATCTGGAGGACTAGGAAACCATGGGCTATCACAGGAATGGTGTAAGTGACATGGACTCTTTGTCAACTTCCAAGGCGGGGTTCATAGTATTGAAAATCGCTACTGTGTGCTTATGGCTCATGTGTCTTTGTGTCTCTGTGTCTTTCCTCAGTGGGTTCGCTTCTACGAGTTGAGATTCGAAAGTACTCGACTTGAGATGATAGATGAACATGTTGTATGCATCATTCTAGTATTCATCGAGCGTAGAGGTCAGTACGTGCAGCCAGATCTACTTGTAAACACTCATGAAGTGCAAATAATCGATGATGATAGGAAAATCTCCGTACAATACTGTAGTTTGTATCTAAGAAGTAACTGTAACAGAGTACATGGTATTCAGAAGTAAATTCTGATTTCGAGAACTTGATTTGTATACAGCTATTCACTTGTTTAACCATCCATTTAACCACTACCAAATCCGTTGATGCCTACCTAGTACTGCAATTCTCTTCCCCAACTCCACAAACAGAACCTCGTATATCTCATCCAACTCCACTCACTCCACTACACTTCATTTCACCTCCACACAGCAAAATAACAGCAAAAACACACAGAAATTACACTCAAGGAAATACAAATTCCCATTATAAAATCAACTAGCCAGCAGATCTTACACTCCAGCGCCAACCAGTATAGCAGTAGCAATAGCAGTATATAATCCATCCATACATCCATTCATTCATTCATAACCTCAAATAGCTTCATGACACCGTATTCCAGCATCCTACATTCAGAACTTGTATACCGCATACCAAATCTTCATTCCCAAATTCCCTTTCTCCAATGATCTGATCTGATCTGATCTACTCTCAAGCTGCCGTTATCTAGTATCTACTCGCATACCAATTTCTCCTGAACCAAAATATCATACCATGCCCTCCACACATATCATCTCGTACGCCTCATCCCATTACATCTCTACTCCATTCCTCACTCCCTCCTAGAACTCCCTCCCAGAACTCCCACCCTCCCCTCCCCTCCCCAAACTCAAACCTAAACCCCCCTCACATCACAAACCTCCCTTTCCATCTCTCAACCCCCTCAACCTCTCATCCGCCCTCCTAAATTCCTCCTCCATTCGCTCTCTCTGTCTCCTCCGCGCCTCAATCTCTTGTTGGTTTTCCGTTTCCGTTTTTCTTGATGCAGGAGGTGGAATCTTTTTCCTGATTCGGAGGGGCCGGATGAGGGGGATGCTGGGGTCGATACTGGGATCGATGTCGAGTGGGTAAATGGGAGACATTGTGTTTGAGAGGTTTGACTGGGGAATGCGTTGGAGGGATAATGGAGATTGAAAGTGAGAGTGGAGGTGTTGTTGTGGTGGGCGAAGTGAAGAAGGAGATGGAGATGGATGAAGAGACTGAAGAGATTGTGGTGGAGTGAATGTAGAGAGAGGTGGATGTTTAGAGGGAAAACATGTGGAGACATGGTGTGCGGGTGATATTGTAGACGGATGTATAAGCTGCGACAACAAACCCGGACCCTCTTCACACATCTCCCCACTCAAACATCCATCCCTTCCCTCCCCATCCCAAGTTTTTCCGCCCAAACTTCCCTCAACAGGACTAACCGGACTCACAATCCTATTCAAATCCTCACACGAACTAAGAGGACTCACATCACCTGGACCATTCCTTAACACAGCATCCCAAGTACCTATCGTATGATTCGCATTTATATCTATCGAATCTTCTACTATCTCTTCCCTCGATACTTCTCCTGGTTCCTCCTTACCCATGCTCGCTGGCTCGCCTTCTTTGATATGCTCTATGGAAAATCTGCCACTTGCATCTCTACCAATCTTGGGAAGAACAGCTACGTGTTTTGCGTATGTTTTTGGAATTGCAGGGACGTCCGGAATAGACATCGTATGATGCTGAATCGGACGCTGCACATTTGAACTACCCATTCTTCGTCGAGGCGCTTTGATGAACGTCTTAGAAGGAGAAACAACATTCCTCGTAATTTCTTCATGAATCCCGTCGTTTCGCGAAGGTATAAATTGCGAAATAGTTGTCACGGTAGACAATCTATCAATTTTTCTCTCTGGTACCAGTGGATCTGTACGAGATTCGGGTTTTGATATGGCTGTACCTTTCCTATTCCAGAGTCGAGGTGATTGGTGACCTTGCTCGCTTTGTTTGCCTTTCCGAGGTGGGGATATAACCGTAGGAGATGAAGGTAGAGAAGAGTATCTAGTGCCAGCGATGGTTTCCTGCGCAGGCGCTTGTGTATCTGGTAACAAAGGTTGGTCTCTTGCTGGATCCTGAGGAATACTGTCAAGAGTGTTGCTCCGGGCGATTTCATTAGCCAGAGGATGTCGAGAATGTGGAACATTCTCTGTGTTATTCCTTTCAGGAAAAGAAAAACCGTGAGGAAGTTCATTCGTCTTGTCCAAGAGTTGTCGACAATATGGTACATCTCCTGTATTACTCCTTTTGGGTAAAGCAAAAAACTGAGGAGGAAATTCCTCTAATATGTCCGGGGGGTATCGAGCATGTGGTGCATCTCCCGTATTGCTCCTCGTAGGTAAAGCAAATTCCCGAAGATGTTCTTTCGTCGTGTTCTTTTTCTGCGGTATATCAAAACACCTGGGCGGCTCAACAAAGTCCACGGCATGCTGAGAAGTTCCAAAAGGCGCGGAAGATACTTTCTCGAAATTATTTTCCTGCGTCCATGGAGATTTGCCGATTCTCTTCTCGTCTCCATGAGTATTTGGTAAGCTCGCACTATGACCCACGGTATCTAAACCTGAACCTTGAGATCGAAAAGGTATAGGAATCGGCAACGCTTCGATACTACGAGAGTGTACCGAATGACTTAAAGCATGGGGCCGAAGAGGTATGTGGATAGGCGACGAAGGCGTTGAAGTTCCAAATCCTCCTTTCCAAACTGCAAGTACATTATCGATGTTATCCGGTGTTAGATTAATTGTGTCCCCATCGATTGCCTCGGTAATGATCTCCATTCGTTCCTCATCAGCCTGAGAGAACTCGGTTTCCCGGCTCATTCTTCCTTGTCCACTTGAGTGAGTATCATGACTCCATCGCTCTGACGTCCCTTCCTGGTGGCTATTTTCGACGTCGGAGATTGTAGAATCTCTAATAAAGGAGTTGACAACTTCTGAATTGTCCGCAAAGGGATTTTGACCGATTTCGCTCATGTATTCTCCGGCATGCCTCTCGGCAGTCCATTTCTGTGATACATCACCTTGACGTTTTTGAGGTATATCGATGGGTGCTGAAATCGCATTTGATATCGCAACATCTGCACCACTGCACGCAACTACACCTTGAAAATGAAGGTCGAGAAATTCTTTAGGCGTAAGATACTCATACCTCGTAGCATCATCAACCCTCCGATCGGCTGCCGATGCAGACAGAGAACTTTCTTCCATGTCTTCGCTCTGTTTGCCTCCTCGAAAACCACCAGTAATCGTATTGAACCTACCGAGTTTTGATTTGACATTACCCTGTGTGGGCGATACATGCTCACCTGTTGCCGCGGTGTCCTGCTCACTCTTCGGTCGAACGATCATTTTCCGTAGACTGCCAAATACATTTGGTTTTTTGGATTTGCCTTTTATTGGAAGACTTTGTGTTCTCAGTCCGTCAAGCTTGATCTCTTGCGTGCTTTCATTTGTCTGATCGTATATATCGTGCGATGGTCCAGCGTCGAAGCTTGCCTTGTTTGTTCCAGAAAGAGCTAGAGAAACATTCTTCAGCCCTTTCTTCTCGCGTCGTGCTTCTTCAGTTCCATTCTCATATACCCTAGCACCCTTCACCCTACCAGTTTCATCTCCATTTGCCACAATTTCAAACGTCCCTATGGCCAGCATATAGTTGTTCTCCTCACCCTTTCTCCAGTTCCCTTCCTTCCCGCCAACAGTACTACTAGTAGACTCGTTTTTCCTCTCCACCCAGTGTACCACAAAGTTGTCACTATTCTGGCCTCGGCACTTGCGGCAGCTCACAAAGTAATGAGCGATAGTTGGAGGGGTTTTAACGCACTTTTGTCGCGGGACACTAAGGTACAAGGGGCAGCGGTAAGTATAGTTTTGTTTGTGATTACACTTTAGAATTATTGTGTATGTATTGCACATTTCTGGTTATTGCGTAGATTAAATAAGAAGAAGAGTTTGAAGACATATTGCAAGTGACAAATTACATATAATCAACGCGAGTATGATTCTTTACTAAAAGAAATGATGATTGGATCTAGGAAACTGGTGATTCAAGGAGTAAAGGGTCATTTGCTGTAAAGAAAACAATAACAATAGATACAAATGAAGGAACGAGTACATTTCTGTTATTGATATTGAATCACAATTAACGTTTTCAATGGCGTCAGGCAGGACATCTCGAACCCACCATCATCATTTGACAGATTTCCTCGATTTCTTCACTATTTTCACCTTGCTAATCAAAGTTCTTCGAGTTCCTGCGGTGAATCATATTAAGCCTGTGGGATGAAAAGTCGGCAAAACTCATGCGTGCTCCTTAATTTTCAAAATATTCTAGAGTTGATATGTCACGAAGACAATGCCGCATTGCGCTTCGATGTCTCATAACCTTCTTTAACCTTTTTCTTATCTATTTTAAAGCCATATCTGTACCTGAATAGCCATGAAAATAGCACGGCCAATAAATTAAACCATATAATCAAGGCCCAATCTTTGAGCCCGAAGCCAGGCTCTTTCGAATCTGTAGAGTCGTATTTCTCACAGACTTCCAGATACTTCTTGGGGTCATCAGAGATAACCCCATCTATATTATTTTTGATACACCATCTCATCCATTGCTCTTCATTAACAGTCCATGCAAACATGGATCGTTTTGCAGCTTTGGCATCGGCCATAAATTTAGAACCGCCAGGTCCGAATAAAATCTGCCGTAACATATTGAAATTTACATTGGGTATGGACAAAAACTCTCTCGCATACCCTATTGAAAATCCAATATGCGTTATGGGAAAATCGGGAAGGTATTTGGCGCACAGAGGAATATACTTGGCCTACATGAATGTCCGTCAGTAACCCTTCAAAAATGCGCAGAAAGATAGCTGATAAGGGAAGGGTTAAGTAAGAAGAAAGGAATGACTTACTGCCCAGCAGCCTAATAGAACTCTCTGATTCCAAGGTCTTGTTGGCTTCACCTCTCTAATCGATGAAGCGATTAAACTCATTAATTGGTCTGCATCATTATCCAGCTTTTTACTCTCGTTAGCTCGAGTTCTCTCCTAACATTGTTATAGCGGCAAATGTACCTTGATATCTAACAATATCCATATATCTTCTAACCCAGGTTTAGTGAGGTATTCTAAGAGATCGGTGAGGCGAGGCATAGGTTCATGAGGAGCCTGAACAGTGCGAAGGGTAGATATATACGACCAGTCGCAATCGATGATCTTGGCGTCTTTTCCAAAGCATCTCTTAAGGCTTGGATCCTTGAGAGGCGCGTTAGCCATCTTTCTCACCGAGAAATGGAATCCCTAAGGTCGCAACACACATGTGAAATAACCAAGACCCCGTCCTTTGTGATGTGTAAATCGGTTTCTATCGCATGCGCGCCTATTTCAACAGCACCTCTGAATGCGCCCATTGTATTTTCTGGATTCGCAGCTTTGTACCCTCGATGTGCAATAGCTTGTGGGAATGTTCGACCGCGCCGATCCGGTTTGGCCAATGTGAAAGTTGCTTGAGCGATATTAGCCATGATTCTGAGAATCCTCAAGCAAGCAACTCACAATGAGGAACCTCCATTTTCTCCTGCGGCAAAGCTCGTGGTTCACCAATTCTAAGTTTGCAGATAAGTTGTTCGCAAGATTGATACCTAGGAGGCTGAAATGTGAATGGCAAAGATGTGTAGTGTTAACTGCGGGCCGCTTCGATCGGTGCAGGAAGTCGAAACCCTTGATCCTGGAGGAAGATAAGTGATGCGCTTGAATTTTGGCAACCCATGTACATGAATGACGATATCGTAATTCGATAAGACGATCACTTGTTTAGTAATTTCCTTTTCGCAGACTTCAGAAGGAATGGTGATCGATATTACAGATAGTCCTGAGAGATTTTCAATTTTTCCAGACGCCGGAATGGCAGTATGCGATGGAACAGTCGTATGCAACAAATCCCCAAACAAAGCGTGAAGTGGTGTCTGAGGTAGCGGCGATGTACAGAATCCACCTAGGTAGTCCTACAATTAAATCGAGTACACGATGGGATCCGCAGATGTGAATGTAGGCGCGGGAGCCGTATATATTTGTTAGTTTTGTCTGACCGCGATAGATAAATGAAGTGAGAACAAATCAATCAATCCGACGAACTGCCCGTTTTGTTCTCGAACTCAAAATAAATGAGAAGCATAGGAAATATATCAATTGTTAAGTGTCAATTGTATTCTAAGTATTCTTGCATGCGTGAGTGTGGTATATGGATGTATGGAGTCTATCCAAGAGATGTCGGCATTACCTTATCGGACGGGGTTTGGACTTGGGCGCAAGGGAGGTCGTGAATGCGGAGGATGTAACCAGACTTGGCCTAACAGCCATGAAGAATGAAATTATCTAGTACTTACCTGGGTACGGAGGGATACCGGCTCGAGACTGGTATCCAATCTACCTACCTAGCATCTGTGCTTCATGTTTGACTGCTTGAAGATCTCTTATTATCGTCTTCGTGAACCATACAAACATCAACAATATGGAAACCTTGCCAACTTAAGTTAAGCATTGTCAGAAGCGAAAAGCTTAATCTTCCTATCTACAGTACTTCAGACTTTTGCGTCTCATCCATCACTTCTATTGTTTCATCATGCTTACTGCTCACGCACCTTTGGGCCTGATATGGCATTTTTGAAGTTTCACAAAACCCTTCGAAACCAGCCCGATGCATAAAGGTTGATGCCTCAAAAATAATAGGTCTCTCGTCTCAATCTTATCTGACGGAATACTTGTCACATCTCAAACAGAAATTTGGGTCACTATCTAGGTAAGCGACCTTGTTGCAGGAGATAACAGCATATGCAGCTAAACATACAAAGATTTATGACCATCGCCATTCGTTAATGCTTGCTCAATGTCTTTCCCCTTCACAATTTCCTCACGTCTCCTCATAATAGGGCGTGGGGATTTTTGGGTCGTACACACACAGGACTCAACTCAGTACGCACGACAAATAAAGCACGAAACGGACTGTTTGCCAAAAACCTCGCTCCCACACATATGAGAGCCCCTTATCAATAATTATAGCTGATCCCCTCGGCATTTAAAAGGTCGGCGATGACGTTACCGGATTTTCGCTGGGGATTACCGAAATCTCTCTCCCTTGTCACATGGTATTCCACCGGGTGTGTTGATTCTTGGGGTTGCCTTCTCGCTACGGTATGATGATCTTCGTAGGAAAGGGGCTGGGCAGAAAAATTGAGAGGTCGAGATCCGTTCACATACATTGCTGACCTTGAGGAAGGCACAAGATTTTCATTGTGGAAGTCCTGAGGGACGCTGAAAGGATTTTGGCAATCTCCCAATGTGCCCAAGAAACTATCGTGTTGAGAATCGAAGGCAATATAATTGCTTTCCGAATCCCAGGCATTCCGAGGACCTGCAGAGTTGTCAAAGTTGAGAATCTTAAAATCCATTCCCGATCCCCGCTCATTGGATTCTATGGGAGCAACAGTCTGCCATTTCTCAAACTCGAAAGTGGTAGATTGAGAAGGAATTGGTGCTTGTACATGACCATTGAATTCGAGTGTTTTCTGGTCAGAGAAACTTGGGAGATTTGTCATTGTAGCCGCTTCTTGCGTGTCATTCAATCGACCTGATGTTGTCAGCCATTGTCTCCGTAACAATCAGTTTCACTCACGCAATTTAATTGGCCGCATGTCTTCAGTTTCTCCAAAACCAAAACCATCTCCCTGTGCCTGCGGCGTTGCTTCTTGGTCTCTACGGAGCTCTGGACGCTTTAGTGGATTTTGTACCGGAGTTATTGCAAGGACAGGAGACTTTTCAAACTCAGAGAGAAGAGAGCTTGTTTGACTACAGATTGCATCCGCTTGTAACTTGTGGCAATCGTCATTGGATATTTCCAGGCTCTCCTTTTCTGAATCACCTAACGATTTAGGACTAGCTTGCGTGGTTGCAGCAGATATCTCATCCCCACCAAGCCCATGGGGCACAGTAAGGGCCATTTTGTCGATGTCTGGATTTGTGATTTTTTGTTGGTTGCAACTATGTCTGAGTAATTGCTTGCGGCCAAACCAATTTCCACACTTAGGGCACGCCTTACAAACTAAGGTCGTTGGTTAGCTCATGGTTCAACATAGTGCATAGCTCTACCGTACTTTTCAATCTTTTGTGTTTGATAACGCCCTCACTAGATGCGAACATCGCCCCACACTTCTCACAACTTGAAGACTTGGGTATCGCTGGTCTTATTTCAGTTTCATGAACTGTAGAGGCGTCGCAGATATCCCCTGTTTCCACTTCAAGAGGAACATCGCACTTCGTCTTATGAGAGCTGTTGCTCTTCACTTCGAGGGGCATGTTATCTTCCACCTCAAGAGCTATGCCTTCTTGGCCATTCAACCGCGTCGATCTCCTGTGGCGTTTTTGTCTCAATTTACCAAAATAATTTTGTGGTAATTCTGCTTTCGCAACTTTTGTCACCTGATCGGCATTGATTTTCTTTTTTGCGACTTCTACTAAAAAGTCAAGGGGGGATGTTTTTATTTTTTTGGTGCCGCTCAATTCCACATCGACTCTTTCGTTCTTTCGATGTCGTTCATGCTTAGCAATGTCCGACTTTTGAGTATATTTCCCACTGCATATAGAGCAAGGAGCCTGGCACCATACAGGTCCTGCATTCTGTTAGTTCTATTAGTTCAAATACAAGGTAACTTACTTTTATTCAGGTGCTCTTCGAGAATTGCTTCTGGGTACAAGTTCAAGCAGGTCGAGCAATAGGATGATGATTCTCTAGGCGTCTCACCACATTGCTTGGGTGATTCTTGGGAATATTTACCTGTTCGATCAATGATTGACGGCCCAATACCCCGCTGCAATCCATTCTTCGTGGTGAACTTCGCAATGTTTGCCGTAATACCAACATCTATATTGATCTGATGGCCCTTTATCCCTCTGTTGGCTTTTTCTTTTTTCCCGAGTCCAGTTTTTGCTCGTAAATTAATTTCTTCATCGGCATCCCAACGACTCTCGTCAAAGTATGGGCGATTGTCAGCCCTGTCCATAATTCACCATTAAAATGAGTGTTGCCTTGCCCTTTAAAACGACTACTTCACTTTTGAGGCAGGATTTCTTCTCACGCACTTCTGCCTCATGGATAATGAAATTGCTTGGTTTGATCATCATACCCACAGGATCATTCCACTTTGAAGCAGTCTCTATTTCATAAACATATAGAGAAGCATGTCTCCAAACTTGGCAAGTCAAGTCTTTTCCTGGTTGCTCGGATGCAACAAGGCTTTGAAAAACTGACATAGCTTCGGTTGTTGCCGTTCCTGGTGGGTATATAACAAATTCATATTGCTGCCCAGTGGCAACAGTACTGGCTTTGAACGTCAAGGCTGTTATAAACAACGTTCCAACTGTGCCTTCTGAATCGACCCATATATTACTGAGAACTTTTTCAGAATTATGCGGAGGCTTGCAAAGAGGGGCAATGGCCTTGGAAAATCTCGATACAAGATTCTGTGTTTCCTCGTGCAAATCACTCTCCGAAAAAGAGGGATCCCGTATTATACTGATGTAGCTCTCCAGTGCAAGTTTGCGAGCACATTTCCAGTCGCCAAAGATGCTGTTCTCATCTTAGCTGGCTATATGTTGACAGTCAGTTACATTAAAATTAGTAAATACGGGACGGCTGCTAACGGGGGAAACTACAGCAACCGGTGCCTAAAAATAACAGGGTTGGCGCACTATCTATACCATGACTCGTAATGGAGCAGCTTTCCGTTCCTACCCAATCTATAAAACTCTGGATCCGACGGAGTTTGGCATACTCGGAATGTTACATATGCATTCCTCGAAGGCTACCAACAACCAAATAGATACGGCACTGAAGATCGCTCGCACAGCTTCAATCTTGAGACTCAACCCATCCAAAAGACCAAGTATCTTACGCCAGGCTCTAAGCCTCCGCGGCAACAGTAACGTCCTCTCGAAGTGAGCTTTCATTGGTCTGATTCAAGGTCTCTACTTCGACTATCCGAAACTCGTTGGTAGGCTTGGTGTGGCCCTCCTCTTTGGGAGTCCATAACGCTTTTAAGATCCATGTGCAACATGTCAGTTTACCGAACTGATTATCCTTCATGGCAACTTGAGATATTCTTTCTTCGAGTGCCTGTTGCATGCAGTCATTGATCACGGCCGTCTTCATGGCTCATACTAGTGTGATAGATTCACTGAGTGAGCGAAAGACACAGCGTGGGTTATGGTGTTAATACAAAATTTTGCTCAATGATAAATCAACACTGACTTTGCTTGTATAAGGTTTTTGTTTTTGGGTTGATGTATGGTATTATACTTGCGCAGGCAGTTAGTTAGGTAGTTCCAAATACACAATCCACTGCTCTCAAAACATTATGGTGTTCTTGTATATAAGGCTTCTGTCTGGCATTCTTCCATACGCGCACATCCAGTAGAGTTCTGCTTCACTTGTGATAGGGTGCATCGTGCCCCACTTTACCGGTCCTGTCTATGCGTAGGAAAAAAAGAGGTCAAAATCGATCACCTCAATAAATTTTATAATTCCCAGAAGATTGCTACGGTCTTTTCCTTGGAGATGGCACAGAATGGGAAGATAGTGTATCGTTTACGCAAATATTCACACCTGATGTAAAACGCCTTCCATTACCGAGCTCTCATCTCTTCGAGGTCCATTCTCGATTTGCCACTGCATTGCATCAACTTTTTGTCGATGACAAAATTTCTAAAGGTTGGCCAAAGGGTCGACGCTTAGGATTACTCTCGGATTTTCCCTTTCCCCCAATTAGACGGCTTTTTTGTAGCTTATAGCTATGTTTACCGTCTACAGCACGTGTTTACTGCTATCACTACTTGGTACGATTCGGAGATGGCTATATGGGCCTGCAGGTGCAGTATTGGTCACCCGGGTCCCTTTTGGGATTTACATTGCGCAAAATGCACGTTCTGATCTGAACGAACCTAACGCCCTCAAACTCATTGAACAATATACATATATCCCTGCACCACGTTTCGTCGATGTCGCAGAACACGGAGATGAGAATTATCTTGTGATGACACGTGTTCGCGGTCAACAGCTTCGACGCATATATCACTTGATGTCTTACACTGAGCGTAATTGCCTTGCAGATGATTTGGCTGGCTATGTTGCCCAATTAAGGAAGACTCCCAACTCTACGGCATATATGATCGATAACACATTAGGAGGTCCAGTATTCGATCATCGCATACCCAATAATGGAATTGGATGTCTTTTCAATACAGAAGCCGACTTTGACAGTTTTGTTGTTAGTCACATAAACTCCACACCTGCTAGAGCTCTCGGGGAAGAACATACCCCGAGAAATCATCGTTCCGTATTCACACATTCAGATCTTCATTGGTCGAATATCTTGGTAGATCAAGGAAAGCTGTCTGGGGTTATAGATTGGGAACGCGCAGGATTTCTGCCAGAGTATTTGGAGTTCACTAAAGCTATGTATAGAATCTCATCGCACAAGGAGAAGATGAAAATTGTAAGGAGGACATTTGGGAATAAGTATGAGAGAGAATTGAAAGCTGAATTGAAGTTGTGGGGGATGACACCTTTTGGTTCTTAAATTTGATGAGTCATCGTGGGAAGCTGAAAAATCAGAATATGTTACCTGTGAGATTTTGAGAGCTGGTCTAATATTTTACGATACGCGCAGATTTTCTTCCAGTTGAATAATCCTGAGTCTGGAAGACTTGAAGATCGGCACAAATCAGTTTTGTTCAATGGGTTCTTGAATTTTATGTGAGGCGATTCGTACTCTTAGAGCTTTTTACTCTATCTGAAAATTGTGTTCAACATGTTAGTGATGATGCACAGGTATGATCCAGTAGTCGGTACAAAATAGCATCCAATATTCATAGTTTTTCCCGTAGACTCGAGATTCTGAAAGCGTCGTTATACCAAACCACTTTAATAATCCGAAAGATCTCATCATATCACATCGATTTGATGTTTCGGGCTCTTAAACGTCTCCAAAAAGTTCATAGATTTGACATTCTCAATTACTATCTAATGGCTTTACAACTTTCCGTTCGTTGATGGATCTTCATCTTCCCTGACTCTTTTTACTTCCTACAACCACCTCATCAACAGAAGATAGATGATCAAAATTTACAGTGATTGCTTTTCTCGATGATTCTTTCCCCAATTCTTGCATATTTCAGACATTCCCGTTCGATGCTTTTGATGCCATCATTCTTCAACTTGGCAATCCCTTCTTCATCAAGGACTTTGAGTGCTTCCAAACCCCAAGTACGACAAGTGGTTGATGCATGCATGGGTACCCGACTCAATAACTCTCCTAGCCCATCCCAGTGTGCAGGCGTGACGATAGCAATCTTCAATGCTACACGCAACCTTATGGCTCCTTGTATATCAGAGTTGCGTGTATCTTCATACGAAAACTTGTGCGGACTATTTCTGTCAGTGGCATGAAAGTATTTTCCAATACCATCTGATTTGGCAGCAAGATCTTTCCATAAATAAAATCTCCAATGGAACCGAGTCTCGTCGTTTTCGAGTCCGTTTAGTGTGATGTATAGACTTTCGCATTCTAAAATTAAAGGGGGCATCTGCGATTCCATATCTGACATCGTTTTACGAAAGAGATAGTCAGAGACGAGAGCAATATGGGTGTGATGGACTAGAACTGAAGCTCGGTAAGTAACCACGCAATGAATTTGGCGAAATTAACCGGCTGAAGCACAGCAATGGAAAGTGGATTTGAGTAAGAAGATATCAGGCGGACAATCATGAAAAGTGGTCATATTTTGGGTGACTGGTTGAAATTTGCTTGTGCGAAATAGTCATTATTTTAACAGTAATTCATCATTATACACTATGACACGCAGTAATGATTACCATCCACAATGAACTATGATTGATAATGTTCATAGTGCCTAAATAGTCACTACAAACACCTCGCTGAATACCTAGGTAGATATACCTACTTTACGCGAGCCGTAGTCTGCAGGTGTTTGTGCACTGGCCAATCAAGAATATGACAACATCAACGTCCCCCAACCCTGACAAAACCAGCAGCTCCAGAATCAACACTACATTCTGGTCTGCTTCTCCGAGTTGGATTGAGCATATACATTATATGATGGCTACTATCGATTCCGTCAACGACGCAATCTCGGCCGCGGATCTGTCACCAACTGAACACTTACTCCTGAAGCATTTTATCAAAGAAGCAGTCGAGCTCAAACTTACCGCACAGTTCATAAATTCAATAATTGACCGAGACTCAAACAACAAGGAAGATAGTTTACGCCGATTAAAAAAGATTGGAGGAAGTTGGGTAGCCGGTGTTAGTAAGATGACCAGTCTTTGGACTATGCTGACAACTAATAGTAACAGTTGTTGAGCCTATTTCTGAGCCACTTGACGCTTTGGATAGAGAAAGAGATGGACCATATTGCACTATGTCAATGTTTCAAGAAAGTAATACAAGACCGGTGCCGACATCGGTTGAGCCTATGCACGTGATTACCCCCTTCTTTTCTTCGAGACATCGAATCCGCCGAAGAGGCGAGTTTGTGAAAAATGATTTGCGTAGTAAGAAAATTTCTCATGTTTGTATAGGTACGCTTACTTCGCATTCTTGAAACTTTTGTTTCTACATCTAATGTGGATCAGTTGAACACATTACTTTTTAGTCAGATTCAAGATAATGCAATTCCCTTGCGTAATCTCTGGTTACTTTCACCGAGTGTGCATAAGGCTTTTCGAGCTGGTCACATAGAAGTGCGGAAGAGTGTCGATGATTCTGAAGACATGGATAGTGAGGCTCTGCAACTAGAGACGGTGAGTAGACTGATTGTGAACATAAGTCTACTGTAAATGTTGATTTTGATCTTAGCATAAGTTGGCATACAAGTGTCCTGTGCCACTCAAAAATCTCTCTTTTGGAAATGGATTCCACTTTTCTGGATCTCTGGAATGGTTTGAAATACCTATAACAAATCCTACAGATCTTCCTTTGCCAAACAAATTTATTTTTGACATCCACTGCCGTTTTACTACTGCTCTTCACCTTTTCAGCATCGAGGATCACATTCATCGTGACTGGCCTAAGACTACTAGTAGCATCTTGCAAAAATTATTTGGATCCCCCATCAGAACTTTCAAACGAGATTTTCACAATTTGTGGTTGTGGGTACCAGACTCTATACGATTGCACTGTTACCGTCATATGTGGACCATCGGAAAATGGTGGTATGGGCCAGAAGAAGTACAATGGGTTCACAGAGTTCCTTTTGGACTTTACATTAAAAAAGCGCAGGGGATCTCAAAATGGTTGAGCGATACACTTCTATCCCAGCCCCTTGAAGCGTCGATATTGTGGAAGACTCAAGCTAAGATATTACCTTCTTAGTTATGACACGCCTATGCAGAGAAAGCTTTGGACGTTCGTTTCATCTTATTTCATATATGGAAAGAAACAAATTTATGGATGGTATCGGGAAATGTGTCACAAAATTGAGAAAGATCCCAAAGACTACTCCTTATCTTTTTTCTGACACGCTGGGCAGTCCTATGTATGATCATCTCATACCGAATCGAACTGGCGGTCCCTTCAATACCGAGTTCGATCTCCATACATATATGTGTAGCGAGGTAGGCGGGGGTCAATCGCTTGCAGAAATTTATGATGGGGAAGAAAACATACCTCATGGCTACCAATCGGTATTTACACATTCTGATTTGCACTATCCCAATTTGTTAGTGGACTAGGGGCGAATCTGTGGTATTATTGATTCGGAGTGTGCTGGATTTAAGCCAGAGTATTAGGAATTTACACATGCGGGGTTTGAAGTTTGGGGTAGTAAACATGAAATGTCGCTGCTGCGGAGGATATTTGCAAACCAATATGATAGAATTCTTGAAAAAGAAGAGATCCGGTGGAGGTGTAATCCTATATTTTGAATGGTATGTATTGTTCTGTCTCAGCTTGGTATCACACTAATGTCATGAGAAAAGATACCTTGCTAGCTGTGAATAACGGATGATGGAAAAGCTAGGGAACAGAAATGACGATGACAAACCTCAATGGCGGAAGAAAGAGTCATCTCAACTTCAAAAGTTTGAAAGATATCCGGATCAGAGGCTTACAATTTCGATCGCAACTACCCCATGAACCGTTCCTACAAATCTTTCACAAGCTCCTCATAGATTTCATAAGAGTATTCTATTATTATTCCCCCTGCCCCCCTCTCTCAATAAAACATTATTTTTATTATCCTCTCCTTCCGCCTTTGATCCTGTAAGCTAGGTCGTGGAATCAAAGAAGCCAAATCGTATTTCTATCACACTAGCCCTAAGCCAACATTCTTCACTTCAGAATTCCATCCTAATCCCACCCCGCACGACTGATACGGAAGGAAAGATTAAGAAGAGGAAGGAGAATAAGATAGAACCACAAGATCAAACAAATACACACACACAATTTTCATCTACTACGAATCAACCCATCTAATTCCACAATATTAATCTTACATCTAATCACCTCGTCATTTGCGGTTTATAAACTTCACAAACAAACCACCCACCTCATAACTACCTACCTAGATAGCTAACGGTAAAACTCCTCTTCACCTCCGACACCTCAATAGACAATTTCGAGGAAAAAAGGCTCTATCTCGCTTATTTTCATAAATGTACCTAGTAATTTGTACCTCATCTCTCCTTTATTTTTGCTTTTGTACATACATTCTCATCTATCAGATGTAGGTCGTATGCACTCTCGCTATTATAATTTATTTTATAATAATAATAATAATAATAATAATAATAATAATAATAATAATAATAATAATAATAATAATAATAACGATATGAATAGCATAACATAACATAACATCTCCTAAATCAACAATATCCCCCTCTCCTCGCTCACTATCTCCAGAAATAGGAGTTACAACCCCCTCCGTTCTTCTGTCTTCTATCTTTTATCCCTCCATCCCCTTTCCCTTCCTAATCTTCACCTCGAATAGTATCTTTCTCTCCCTCTCCCTTCCCAAACTCAACACTCTCTCCGAACCTATTCCTCACAAAAATCTCCCCCTCCTCTTCCTCATCATCTCTCACCTCCAAACTCCCTACCATCACAAAGAAAGACCATCATTCAATCAGATCATTTCCCCAAACCCAACAACAAAAACATGCACAAAAAATCACCCCCATCAAAATTTAAACAAATCCATAATTCCACAGGATAAAATGCACATCACATACACACATATATACAGTCAGACCATGCGCTTTCCCAAACGAGGATCCACAGCCGCTTTTCTCTTTTCTCTTGCGCAGCGAGATAGTAATTGTTATACCTACCCAGGCAGTCTCTATAAATATTCTCGAAATAGACATCGTACATCTTGCTGTGCTAATTCCCCCTATTCTATTTATTCTACCCCTTCACAATCACCATCTGCCTCTCTATTGCACACCCGGGATCTTTTTCGAACTCTATATCTCAAGAATATACAAGCAAGCAAGCAAGCAAGCAAGCAAGCAAGTAAGCAAACACATCAACAACTTTACAAAATATAAACATCTAACATCAAATCTTGAACCCCCCCCCCCTCCATTCGATCCCAACCCAATGAAAGAAAGAAACTCAATAAATAAAAAGATTCTCGAGACTTGTGCAATCAAGGGCATACTCCCCTCTCCTTCTTACCATCTCCCTCTCTCTCTCTCTCTCTCTCTCTCACTCAAATACTCTGTATATATTCACAAAACCTCTATTCACACAACTCTTATTTCCTAAACCATCTCACCCCATTCCATTCCATCCCATCCCAAATACTCAACCAACCAACTAACCATCAACCCCTCATCAACATTCTTCCAAATTCCAATCAACCCCCCCCTTCTTTCTATCAAACTAAACTAGACTTCACTCGCCATTCACCATCTTTACTACTCTCCTCCTTTCCCACCAGCAATAGAGTAACTCATCAGATTCTACCTCGAATTTTGGGTTGACTTTGAGTTTGTTATTATTAATAATAATAATAATATTGAAATTTATGAGATTTATATTCCAGAGTAGTGATGATGATAATAATGATGATAATGATAAAAGTGAGGAGGAAGATATATAGATACATATATATACATCCCCCTCGCTACATTTCTAGATACCGAGTACATCAGCAACACAACCCACCACACCACACCAAAGCACTACAACTTACTCCTCTCCTATCCTCCCTCTCCCCTCTATCACCTACCTCCCCTTTCCTCTCCCAATACACAACAAAAACTCCAACCCAACAAACAACCCACGAAAACCTCTCAAATCAAGTCCAAACCGCTCATCATCACCATTTTACCTCCAACCAGCCTTGGATTAATCTACTGTTCTACCTGGAGGGAAAGAATTGAAGAGGAATGGAGTAAGTTTAGTACGGAATACTTCGCAAGGTATGAATCAAATAAAGACAAAGCATATATACTTGGGTACCCATTATCAACAGAGCATATCATTCATTCTCACTTCAAGATTCAAGATTCAAGATTCAAAAAAAGTAAATGTAATTACCATACAGTACAAAACAGAAAATTACACAAACACAACCCAAGTACCCAGAAACAGAAGAAAACAAAGGAAATGTAAAGTGTTTTGTTTAGAATTTGTTTTATATTCTTTCTCCCATCCATCATGGAGAAGAGTAAAGGTATCATACTACCACTATCCATATGTTATCTTCTCAAATTATCAACTTCTTCAAAGACCTAATTTCTGATTCGAAACATACAATCCAATCCATCTTCACCTTAATCTCACGCATCCATCCCAACCATTAAATTAAACACACCACTTTAAATCTACAAAAGTGCGGCACCAACGAATGTCAAACTAGCAATCAATCCACCAATGATCATTGGGGTCTTATCCATTGGGCTCAATGAGTTACCTGCACTGGCCTTGGAAGTACCGGTAGCACTGCTAGCACCGGTGGCAACAGCGGTAACTGATCCAGATCCAGCAGAGGCAGTTCCGGTAGAGGTTCCTCCAGCGTTTTGAGATCCAGCACCAGTCAAACCAGCACCTGTACCAGCACCCTTTGTCATGAGTTCAGCGGCACCAGATGGGATAGCTGGGAGAGCATCAGAGGTAACGTTCCAGGTAGATGATTGAGCTGGGCAGTCAGAAGCTTTGTTGGTAGAGCTGTATCCACCATCTCCAGTTGGGTTGGCGGTTCCGGCGAAAGCAGACTTGAGAGCGGTGAAATCATCTTTATCGGTGACGGAATCGCCATCGATTTTGACGAGACCGTACTTGGATCCTTCCTCAGAGTACTCATAAACGAGACCACCAGAGTAGACTGCAGTCATATCAGTGCCGTAGAGAGACTTGACTTCTTCGAATGCACGGGTGTTGGTGTTGCAACCATACTCGGAAAGGCTACAACATGTTAGTTTGAAATTGCTGAATCGGGAAGTGAGTACTTACAAAATAGGAAGTCCATAATCAGTGAAGTTCTTGACCTTTTGATCCCAACCAGAGGTTGTGAATGAAGATGGATCACACCAAGAGTAATCGTTGAAAGCGAAGAAATCACTACGCTCGTCATCGGTACCGCAGTTCATGTATTGAGCCATCTCCAATCTGTTGGAATCAACGTCAGCAGCAGAGTAACCGACGGGGATCGAACGGTATCCACGGCTTCCGATGTATTGTCTCATATCACGGGTAACGGCCTTGACGTATGGAGCAGCGCTGGTGGTGGTGTCATCGTTGATAACCTCATTTCCCGAGAAGAATGCCAAGGTGTTGGTGTAGTTGGCAAAAGCATCGATGGTGGCAAAGATGTTTTGAAGGTAAACGGAGTTGTAAGAAGGAGCTGGGGTAGCACGGTTAAGGGAGTACAATGGTGTGTTGACATCGAGCACCAAGTAAATTCCTGCATCTGCCAAAGCGGTCATGCAGTCATCGTGGTTGGCAGTGTTGTCAACGGAGTAAACACGAACAGTGTTGATACCGAGCTCCTTGAACTTTGCAATATCACGGGTGCAAGTGGTCTTGTCGGCAATAGGATCGATGATTTTGGAAGATCCTCCTGGTTGATAATCGACTCCACGGATATAAAATCTGTCGTCACCAGAGAAGAAAGCTGTGGCAGATTAGTAAATCATTCTCGAGTCCATGGAATCCAAACAATCTTACCATTTCCCTTGGTTGTGATGGCAGTAAGAGATGAAGATGAAGCTCTTGGTGCCAAATTCTCCACTGGAGATGGAGCAGCCAAAGCAGAGCCAGCAGCGGCCAAAGTAGCGATGGTGTTGAAAGTCTTCATTTTGAATTGATTCGATTTCGAAGTTTTGGAAAGATACGAAAAGTTGACGGTCAAGGAAAAATGGTTACAAGTGTAAAAAGGGTTGGTGAATGCTCCAAAGTGAGTGAGAAGCAATTCAAGAAGGATCCAATTAGAAGAGTGTTAATAAAATGGCAACTACAACGAACGACAGTGCCAAAAAGTAAATGGAAGAAGGTTGGAGAGGCTGGAGAAGAAAGTTTTGATGTATTAATGGAAGAGGAAGAAAAAAGAATTGAGAGAGAGACCGAAGAGAGAGTTTTAAAAAGGGATGCGTCCAGAATATCTGGAATAATTCACGGCCAAGATTACCTAATTACCTACATCTGGACTTACAAGTTGGCCACAGAGGCCAATCCAAGCCTCTCTTCGTTCCAATTCGAAGTTCGAACGCCCTGCCTTCCGTACTTTTGGTGGGAGCTAAGTCTCATGGAGTATAGATCTTTCGCGATGATAGTGATAATCAGGAGTTTAAGCTTGGCATTCAAGGTTTAGAGTTATTCGATGGGTCCGAACTTTATAAGAGGCCAGGATTATGCACCACCAATCATCACTCCCCTCTCACTTGATTGGATGGCTGGGTCGGGAAAGGCTCGTGTTGAGGTTTATTTTGAGAGATGGGTAGGCACGGGAGAGAGTGAAGCGTGGAAATGGATTTGGGATGTACGAAGTGTGCACAGTGGGAAGATGTGAGAAGATGTGAGAAGATGTCTCTCATTATCTTACACCCAATGTAAAGAATGAGCACTGCCTCACTACTCCATTGCCTCACTCCTTACAACCATTGCCTCAATCTTTGAATAGAAGCTTCAACTAATGTTTTGGCTCAAAGGCAGACCTGATCATTCATACACATTGTATATCACATCAACATCAACATCAACATCACGATCTTCACCTTCATCAATCTAACTTTGCCCTCAAATCACACTGCATCACATCATCATCATCATAACCAAACAACGACTCCAATCAATCAATTGCAAACTCAATATAAAACACGACTCCATTCTTTTCATCTCCACTCCAATCCACTTGCTCACTCTCCTCTCCATAATTCCCCAAGAAAAGAAGCAGAGCGCATCGGTATCCAAGATCAAATCATCAATCATCAAACGATGCAACTTGAATTGGGTATCCACTCGCACATCTAGTATCCACCACTGACTCTCCAATTCTCAATTCTCAAACATTCCATCATCAAATCCGAATTACAATCATCTTTTCCATTTTCATCTTCATCCACCCACCACAAGGCAATCATCTCAAACCTCAAATTCAACCTCAAATTCAACCACAAATCAATCAACATCCAAACTTTATAATCCTCCATGACCCCTCAACCACCAACAGCCTCGTCCTACATGCCAAACAACACATCAAATCAAGGTCATTTCCAGTTTCTGTTGGTTGTGTTGTTGAAAATAACACTCGACAGCGCGTAACTCCGTATCACCACCTACAACCAAATATTACAATACGTTATATTCCTTCCACATCCAACCCAACGCAACAAACCCCTACGCTTTCCTCCCACATCTCCCGAATCCCAAATTCCCCATAAACGAATTGCCGATTCCTTCCAACAAGGATGGACGTTACATGCTACATGTTCATTCCCTTTCCATCCTTCGATCTTCAAAGGGGTTTGACTTTCTAACTTCTCTGATACGAGGTAACGGCTGTTTTTAGGGGTCGTATTGATTACTTGATGATTTAATTTTGATTTGAGATGATTTGAGGTGATATGCCATAATACTCCGTACAAAGGATTAACATTTTTTTTGTTCTAGAAGCTGATTTCTATCCTTGTACACAAACTACTTAACGATAGGTATGGTATCTGAATGAGGAGTGAGACGCAATTCAATTCGAAATTTCAAATGAATGAGCGAAGGATGAATGTGTGCTGCTAGATCACCTCTCACGAATGACGATCAACAAACTGTTTGATTTAGTCGCGTTTCATATGTTTCTACTTGGAGCCTATCTATCTACCTATCTGTCTATCTACCTACCTACCTACCTCCCAACCAACAACAACATCATCATCGTAAATACCAAGTCCGCAGAAGACAATACCATACCATACCATACCATACTCCAAGAATCAAATTTCTATTTGTCCACCAATTCCTAGGTATTAGCTTGGATAACCTTGGCTGCCATGGATGCCATGGATGGCTGTGAATTGAGATTGAATTGAATTGGGGTTGAATTGAATTGAATTGAGATTGCATTGCGATGAACTCCTCTCCCCGTCCGTCTCCTTTACATGTACACTCCTTCCTCTGAGAATAAACAAATGGACAGACAAACCAATAAATAAATAAATAAATAGAGAATAATAATGATACCAAAATGAAAATAAATCATTCATTCCCTGAATATCTTAGGATTCTCAAAGTCCTTGATTTTTCTTGAAATTTGTTGGATTGTTTTTCTCTTGGTGGTTTCTCTTGGGGTCTTGGTGTGTATCGAATGGGCGAGTGTGTGTAAGTAAGTAAGTAATAAGTAAGTAAGTGAGTTGAATAAAGAGAGAAGTAAGTACATGAGTAAACAAATAAATGATATCCCGTATATGCCTTCCGTCCCCTCTGTATTCTATTCTATATCTACGAGCCTTTGTTTTACGACCTAGAAGCTATCGGGATACCTTTCTTTCTTTCTTTCTTTCGTGGGGAGATAGATAGATAGATAGATACCTACGTAGGTATTACATCGCATACGATACGTTGCAGAGTGTAGTTAGTGCACATCGGTACATAACGTCGGGGCGAATTTTTCTATTTTTGGAACATTCCTTCGCGGTTCGGATCGGCTGGTTGGTTGGTTGGGAGGGAGGGAGGTTGGTATGTATGTATGATGTATGTATGTATGATGTATGATGTACGATGCACGATGCATGTACGATGAATAGAAAATACCCATCTACCTACCTACCTTGATGAGTATACCGTGCCGTGCCGTGCCGGGCGGCGAAGCATTCGCCGCTGTAGTACTGGGTATGTGTGTAGGTATGTAGGTGATTGATTGTTATCGGGTTCTTATTTGTTGATTTATTGGGTGGTTGGTTTGTGATGTGTGTACCTAGGTATATGTAATTCCGCGTTGTGCTGTGTTGTACAAGACCACTGAGTATAGTACTGATGATAACGGATTGATGCACCAGACAGTTAGGTGGTTTGTCTTAGAGCTTTGTTTCTTGTTTTTCTTGTTTTTCCTTTTTTGGGTGGGTTGTGGTTTATGGTTTGTGGTTTGTGGTTTGTGGTTTGTATTGTGACATGTGATGGGATGTTTCCGGGTAATGTTTTGATGAGGTTTTTCTATATTCTTGGTGGGATGGATGGATGAATGCATGGGAGTTCAAGATAGGTTGCAGTGTATCGCTGTTGTTGTATTCATTTGTGAGAGATATATATTAGGGGTTGCTACCAGATGATGATTTCAATTATGCTTCCTCGGTTTGAAGAGTGAAAATGGGGAATTTGGGTAAGGGAGGGGAGGGGAGGGGAGGAAGCAACTGGTTGAATATCTCTGCAATTGACGAGTGGCAGATTAGTTCTTCATTCATACCGGATTCTTGCTATAACTTGATTTGGTATGAGAAAGAATATGACGGTGGCATTGCTAACCATCATCTGCTCGGAATCTGGGCATCCTCGAATTTTGAAATTTTGGAATTTTTCTTCCTCGAAGATGATTTTTCTTCTGCTCGCCATGCAGATTTGCCTGCCGGCGGAAGTAGGATGTACAGCAAGTGCTACATGTTTCTCTCATCTAATGTCTATATCCATATACAACACAGGGCAATAATGCAACACAATTCAACTTCTTTCCAAAGATTGCAAAGAAAATATAGACAGGCTCAACACCTCACCTCCTAAACTCTCTACGCATCTCCACCCAACTACCAATCACAACCTTCCGCCAAAACCCCAGCCAACTCCTCCAACCACTTCCGATCCACCTCATCAAACCCCTCCTTCACCCCACAATCCACATCAATAATCGCCTTCACAACCCCATCCACCACAATCGGCACGACAATCTCACTCTGACTAGCGGCGTCACATGCAATATGACCCGGAAACTTCTCCACATCGGGAACGAGCTGTGTCGTCTGAGTCGAAGCGGCAGTACCACATACACCGCGGGAAAAGGCAATGGTTTGACAAGCGACTTTTCCTTGGAATGGACCGAGGATGAGGGAGGGCTTGGAGGGCTTGGCGGAGGGGTCGAGGGTGTAGAATCCTGGAATGGGTAAGTTGATGATTTGGGGAAGGGAAGGGAAGGAAAGGGAATCGAACCGGCCCAGTTCACCTCTGAAGAGGGGGAGGGGAGAGATTTATATGCGTGCCATAGTAGTGAGGCTGCGTTTGAAAGATTACTATTTCATTTCGTCATTCATCATTCTTACACATGTCATCTGACTAGATCATATCATGTCACTTGATATGACGACTCAAAAAAATTGAATATTTACCACACCTATATCCCATTAGTGTCTACTCACTCAATTTTACTCACTCCTTCAATATCAACACATCAAAGCGAGACCAAATCCCAACTAAATAAAAGGAGAGAAAAATATTACATACCCAATTCCTCTGTCCATCAATCAATCCCCTCGCTTCGTCTAAGACTTGCGCATAAGCTTCCGCTTTACTGATATCGGCTTTGAAAGTCGATGAATCGGCGTGTACCTGTGGGTTTGGGAATGGAGTGTTAGTTGCTGGTTTGGTATTAGATGCGATTAGATGCGATTAAGTTCTGGATATGCTTTTCTCGTGGTCTTTAGTTCTGGCATGGGAGGAGTGTTTAGCTGTACCTACCATTGTGAATCGTTCCGCTCGGGAGATTTGCTCGGACGGCTCGGCTCGGGATTGGAGCGTGAATTAAAAAAGGGATTTAGAATGGAATAGGCGGGAGGGAGAAAAGCTTGGATACCTAGTGAGGATAACTGGGTTGAACTCAAAATCGTATGTAAATGTGCGCTTCTTTTTTTGCATATGTGAGGGGGAGGAACAGAGATTGATGGGTGGTCTGTGCGTTTGGGAGTGGAATTTTATTGCGTGAGGTCTCGTGATGTGGAGGTGTGGGAAGGTGAAAATTGGTGGGTGGAAAATTAGGATATTTTTAATATTTCTTGTGAATTTAATTTTTCGATATTTAGAACTACTGTCTCGATACAAATGTAGAAAGATTTGCAGTTTATGGTTGGTATTTTCTTAGGTATATTCGAAATGTTTTTTGACGGTATTATTCGACCTCGAAATGATGTTGAATTTAAAGACTTTCGAATTTTGGCGAGTTTAAAATTTGGTGTGCCGGTTGTTTCCTCCAGCTGGAGTCCAACTGACCAAGACTACTCTCTTGCGCACTATTTTAGTAGTCTTGATATCTCATTAAATCGAGTCGCAAGCCTCAAGACAAGCTATTCAATTGCTCCGTTCTCCTCTCTATCAAAATTTAGTGCATACTTATTGACTGTTTACATATTCATCTAATTATCCCAATCAATTATTCTCCCCCTCTCTTCTCTTCTCAACAAACTTCTGTTCTCCCCAGAAAGGGCTAAGATGTTGATGTTTGATAGCCTTCTCATACCATCTCACAACTTTAGGAAACTTGCCTCTCATCTCTACATCGATGACCTGATCAAACCCCCAATACAAAGCAGCAGCAACCGAGATATCCGCCAAGCTAATATCATGCGTACCAGACACATACATGTGTTCACTCAACTGACTTTCCAACACGTTCAAAACGATCTCCAATTTTTCCATGGCTCCATCCTCTGCCCCTTTCTCAAAAGGCACAAATCCATATCTCCAAAAGATGAGCGTAGTGATGGGTTCAAAGATCTCATTGTTAGCAAAAGAAATCCATTGACGAATGGTCGCACGTTCTTTGATATTTGATCCTAGTAATTGGTTCGTGGCAGGGCCGCATTCGGCAGCATATTGGGCAATAGAATCCGATTCGAAGAGTTTGAAAGAGGAGGTGGCATCCTTGAATACAGGAACACGACCAAGTGGGAAGTCGGTGAGAAATTCGGGAGTTCGGTTGGTTTCAAACATGACAAAGTCGGGGAACATATCAATGGTCTTGTTGTTGAAGGCGGCTGCGGCTTGGATATGGAAGGTGGTATGTTAGATCAAGGGTATGGTATAAGGTATCTGTATTCGGAGTTCTGGGTTCTTGACTAACCTTCATCGTACGGGGGTTGTTGGGGTATGAGTACACGGTTCCGAGAGATGCCATCTTGAGCTAGAGGTAATAAGTGATAGAGTGGAAAGTGCTCTAAGATCTTGTTGTCAATTCGCCGCGTTGCCAACTCGTCGTGTGAATCTAAGTACTGAATGTTGAGTTTACCCTCCTCCAAGTGGGAAGTAAACTCTATTTATACCCTTTTCTCTTTGCTCTCTTCATACTGACACTGGATTTGCAGTTGAGTTTTTGACCGTTATCAACTATTACCAAGCATTTTCTACTAATTCCGACTTCTCTATACTATGGTTTCCGTTGCATCTTTCTGAGGTTTGGATACCCGGAGTTAACAAGCTCGATGTGCCGGGGTTTACGCCCACGCTAACAAGTTCAACTAACTACCTAATAATAACCTTGAAGTAAAATTATAGAAGTGCACGATTTGGAAAAAAAATTCATGCATGTCAGTAGCTTACATGTTCCGCAGGAACCTCCGAAAAACACTAAAATCCTTAGTGCCCGGATTTAGCCTCCTGGAACGATGTCGCTAAATTAGTCGAATGCATGCGACTGACAATCCTACCACGCTAGTATTATGTAAATATTGAAATGCGAGATGAATACTGTAAGTTTACAAATCATCACGTAGAATCATTCGGTTAAGTATCATAAATCCGAGGAATACTTTCATTGTTCTAAGAGAGAGAGAGAGAGAGAGAGAGAGAGAGAGAGAAAGGAGCTTTTTTCTTTCTTGAGAATATCTTGGTTTGTAATCTTTTGGAACTATATAGTATATATCTACCTGTAGGTACCGTCTACTGTTATTTTTAATATTTATACCCAACTATAGACATCGTTGCTCGATACCTTGATACTAAGATTCCAAATTCTCTACATCTCAAGCATCCAAAATGTCCTCTTCTGAAGCAAAAACCATAGGCATTGCCGGGGTAAGCGGCAAGTTCGCTCAATGTATAATCAAATCTCTCCTCCTTGATCCATCAGTCCATATCAAAGGTTACTGTCGCAACGCATCCAAACTTCCCACAGTATTGACCACCCATCCTCGAATCAAGATCGTGACCGGATCCTACGACGACATAGCCTCAATCCAAAACTTCGTTTCCGGTACCTCTGTCGTCATATGTTGTTATTTTGCCTCGACAGAGGTAATGACCAACGGACAAAAATACCTCATCAATGCCTGTGAAGCGGCAAAGGTACCCCGCTACATAGCTGGAGATTTCTCTGTTGACCACACGCTCATTCCATCTTCACGCATCCACCTCTTCCCCAAACCAACTACGAAGATTATCGAATATCTTTCTACCAAGAAAACGGTCAAGGGAGTGAACATTCTCAACGGCGCATTGATGGAAACTTTCTGGGCGGAATTTTTCCAGCTATATGATTCCTCCTCTCGAACTCTCTCATACTGGGGAACTGGTGACGAAAAGTGGGAATTTACTACGTATCAGACCGCAGCAGCTTACACAGCCACAGTTGCATTGGATGAAAATGCTGTGGGAATATTCAGATGTATGTTCTTCGTGTTCCACTTCCACTTTCGGGTTCCTTTGAGACAACAGACTGACAAGAGGAAATAACAGTCCTGGAGGATCGAAAATCCCCTCGCGAACTCCAATCGCTCTTTCAAAATGTCTATTCCACTCCACTTCATCTCAAGTCTCATGGATCTCTAGATGAGCTCGAACAGAAACTTCAAGAAGCCGTAAATACACATGGTGAAGATACATCCCAATGGGGGGCACTGTGAGTAGTTCCACATCACAATCTTAATCTCCACGTATGGTCTTCCAAAAAACTGACCAAAGTGATAGAGGATTTGCATTCTGGTGCACAAACGGGAAAGCGTATTTGGGGGAAGATAGCAGTAATCTTGATAATTCCAAGTATCCTCAGGTGAAGAATGTTACTATAGAGCAGTTTTTGAAACGCCATACTTTGCAGGAGCTTCCACTGGCGGATCAAAGCTTGGGTTTTGAGTAGATGTTGGTGGGGTGAAGGGGCTTGATAGTTTAGTTTTAGATGATTCGAATGATGAATAGTCAGGTAGTTTTTAACATATTTATATCCCGAGCAATGTTAGAGTGAAACTTTGAAGAGCCCAGCTGTGTTGTTAAGACTGAAGAGAGTTCGCCAATGAGCGTTGTGCATAAGGTCACTAGGTCAAATAATTATCGGAGTGAAGATAGAGAACCGAAGTGTTAAATCGAATTTTCAATTTTCAATGCTTAGACATAATGAAGTGGTGAAGTGAATGTCGGTAATACAACATTCTGAACACTTCACGTAGTTCTTCATTGTTCATCAACAGGATAGTTTTAACTTTTAGTGTCGTCAACAGGAATCTGCAGCTACATCCCAAAAGATATGCCCCTCAAATCGGTGGAGTTAAGCTCCTCTACTACTAGCAATTTAACACCAAACTTTTTCTTCAAATAATAACAGTATTATGCGTTTCAGATCGCTGCTTTCATATTGTGTTTTCTGAAGGCCAAATTTGAAAGCTATACGACTCAGTCAAGAACTAAATTTACAAGGTAACAACCACTTTCTTTGCCGAAACCCCCTTCCTTTGAATATCCAATGCCTTCTGAAGCTCCTCCAATCCATGACCTACAATATACGGTTCAGGTTTTGCTTGCAACTTTCCGTTCGCCAAACCTTCTGGTACAAACCTCTTCCAAACAGCTTCTCCAACATATTCATTTGGTTCCTGGATAATCGTGAAAGCGGTGACTAAAAGACAAAAAATCAAAAAGTTAGTCGAGAGAATGCTCCTCAAAAGGCAAAACAGATGCCAATACGTACCATACTTGGGCGAGAATTTCTCCGTAGGCTTGTCATATGGAAGTACACTCGCAACCTTGGGAAATACATTCAGGCTCTCTAGAATCTGGTGCACCGTTTCGAAGCTCCTAGTCTCAGAAATGGCGTCGAATACTCCAGCGATTTGGCTACCGCGAAGTGCATTTGCTACTTCTTCTACGACATTGGGGGACTTGTAGTCAATTACGGTTTGTGCGCCAAGTGATTCGACAAAGTCTTTGTTTTGAGAGGAGGCGGTAGTGATGACTTTTAATCCTGAAGCGACGGCAAGTTGAATGGCGGTGGCTCCAACGGAAGAAGCTCCTCCCCAGATTAGGATTGACTTTTTGTTGCCCGATTCAATTTTGTTCGTGGCGGAAGGGAGGGGAAGGTTTAGAGTATCTTTCTGAAAGAGACCTGCTGATGCCGTGGAAATAGCAAGTGGAAGGACTGCTCCTTGTGTGAAAGAGAGAGAATCAGGGAGTGCTGAAGTGAGCTTCTCCGTGACGAGAGTATAATTTTGGAAGGCGGAATTGGAGGGATCGCGAGTCATAAGGGCGTGGCAATGCCTGTTTGTGTGCTTTGTTAGGTCTCATAATACGTTATGCACCGAATTGGGCCGAAATATGCTGTTTGAAAGTTGCCTGGAGTGATTTACATACGCAATGACTCGTTGACCTTTCTGGAAACCTACAACACCTTCGCCGACAGCTTCAACTGTACCGGCAGTATCTTCCCCTAGGATGAACGGATATTTGTTGAGATAACGACCATGATCCCTATATTTTATTAGGATTCTTCCTACTTCACAAGCCGAACTACTGGCACAATGAGCTTACTGTATCTTCCAATCCACAGGGTTCTGCTCATTGAATAAAAATTAGCGATGGAATCTATATATCTACACCAAAAAAAGATTGTAATAACATACGATAGCCACAGCTGAATTCTTAATAACCAACTCTCC